CAGCGTTACATGGCGATGACCATTTTCACACTACAAAGTCTTACAGTTACCACGCTACTGACTATTCTTACTACAATAAAGTGTTCACGACTAGTAAGTATTCCCACTGTACTCAGAGTTACACAGTGATGACCATTCTCCCTATACAGTATTACACGATTAAAAGCCGTAATCAGTAAATGAAGTGTTAAAAAGCTGCCAAATATGCTGCAAACATTCGTCGTTCAATGGTAGACTAAACACTATAAAATGTGATTCATACACAGTTCAGATATTCATATAATGGACCATAAGCTATGGGGTTTAAATAAAAATGTGAACGCTTCGTTTGAGACTGTATTTTAAAGTTTTTGTACAAATACTTTCCATGTTTCTTTGTTTGTGCTTTGCTCATTCATTGCTTGAAACTGTACTGACAACATTCTGTTCCCATTATGAATAGGGTTTCACTTTCATATTTTATATGTCAACCAATAACTTCTACAAGAAGGTGATAAATAGTTATCATTGTGATACAGGATTAATATAATACTGGAAGTAAATGCTATACTAATAATAATAAAACTTTATTAAGAGCATACTAAAGTCTGGGTTCAGTCATAGATATTGGTAGATAGGAATGACTGATTTACCTTGCTCCTATCCATGCTAACATCATTAAAAAAAAAGTAGCTCACATGATCGCGAACGCAAAAAAGTTAAAGATCGTGAAAACACTCAAGTTTCTTGCTTGTTTATAATACTTTATCCATGCTTATCTTTAATCTTCCTAGTTACCAAGGTATCAAATGTACATGGTCGATAGAAGTGCATTTTGTACTCAACTTTTATTTTCACTATACACTAAACTTGTATTGAGAGTAAGTATAATATAATTCTTATAAAAGATTATAACACTTTTTAATAAATTAATTATACATTTGACATCTTTCTTACTTCGTGTTGTTTGTATTTCTTACAGGCTTTATAAACGGATACTAACAGTAGTTTGCACAGTTTGCGAAGCTTCGTTTCTTTTAAGAGGCTTAGCTTAGCAGCCGATTTGACATGAAGATATCTCAGTTAATATTAATCAATTTGTAATACAGCGTATTTTATTTCGTTATGCAAGAAATTAAAACACACATGTACATTAAAATATCAGCAAACGTTGAAAATAACAAAAATAATAAATTTTCAGTGTAAACGATAAACAGTTGTTTTAATTCACTAAACTGATGTACCTTTTGAAGTCAAAATTTCTATCGTTAGTCCCAAGACAGAAGAAGATACACATGCCTATTAAAGTTTTACTTACACATTATTTTTAACCAAATAATAGAAAGATAGCAGCCTGACATCACTTTAACTTTATCAAGAGGAGAATCTTCATGTAATCAATAGTGTAGTTCATGATAAAATAAACATGCAGTAAGAAAAAGGTTCTTAACCTCGACATTCTTTGTTATGATAGGCACTTAGAGAAGAAAATATCAGTCTCAATCCGGTCATTTCGAGACAATATTAGTCCTATTTTTTGAGGTAAAAACAATTATTCTTGCATAGCAGATTATGCTATTTGTTTTTTACTATCACAATAACTATTCTAAGTGAGATAAATGAGAACAATTCGTTGAGCACTGTATATTTATAAATGCTATCCACCTAAAATATTTTAATATTCAATATGTTTTAACAAGAAATCTCTAACTCAACGGCAGCAGAAACTGTAGAAACCACATCTTGCATTTTTTTTCTTCTATTTTTTGAAAGTCTACAAAAATAAGCATTATATTATTTTATGAGGAATCCAGGGGTGTAATCCCATCAGTCCCCCGGTTGGACAGCGGGAAGTCTTCGGATTTACATTGCTAGAATCAGGAGTTTGATACCCCTCGGTGGATACAGAAGATAGCCCGATGTGGCTTTGCTATAAGAAAACATACATACGTAAACCAATCTATAAATGGACAAAGAAGTTATTATTGGTTTTATCAGTAGAATTGGGTGGTATTTAGCCTAATTCGCACAATGGTTATGGCATTATTGTAGAACATTGTCTATGGATCATTAAGCATTCTATAACTTTCTGTGAAACCTGTGACTAGCTGCTGAGACAAAACCCAGTCTCTGGGTGTTTGTTCTTGTCAAACGGAAACAGCCTGGCATGGCCTGGTGGTTAAGGCACTCGACTAGCAACCTGCGGGTCGCGAGTTCGAATTCCGTCACCGAACATGATCGCCCTTTCAACCATGAAGGCGTTATATGTTAACGATCAATTCCATTTCTCGTTAGAAAAAGAGTAGCTAAAGAGTTGGCGGTGGGTAGTGTTGAATAGTTGCCTTCCCTCTAGTCTCTCACTTCTAAATTAGGGACGGCCTGAGCAGAATTATGAAACAAAACGAAATGGAAACGAGGTCGGATTCAAACCTAACCTGCAAATGCAAAGTAGCAAAATATCCGACGTGTTACAAATGTAGCAGGTATGAATGCGAACACAATGATACACACCACTTTCTCAAAATGTTAGCAGTAAGAGAAGTCAGATAAGCTTCGGTGGAGGAAGTGCTGTCAAGAGCTAAAGATGGATGTATCATACAACTTGCTCTCAAATGGGAATGAGAGCAGAGGGAATAGGATGATTCAAGATCAGGTAAGGAACGGAAAATACGAAGATTTTTTTCTGAGTAAAGAGTATTATAGGAATAGGAGGAGATAGGAGTTCAAAAATTATGACGATAAAGTACTTTGGTAGGACGGAAACACCTTAACCTAAAAGAAAACAGCATAGCTATGTACCTCACTCTTAGGCTTCCGAATTTCCGAATCCGATGTGGAAAACAGCACGTCTTTGATGATGCTCTACATAGTCATGTACCTTAATCTTAAGCTTCCGGATCTAATGGGATCTTACCACCTAGTCGTACTTTCTGGCGTTGAGTCAGAGATTGCTTTTTAAGAATACGAAATGCTAGTGATGATGATGGCTGATTAACATGTTTGTTCAATGCCCATGAAGACTATATCATAACAATACTTGTTTTTTATATTTTAGGATTATATGATACCGAAAAGGGAATAAATCTCAAGGTGCCGACATTTTTAAGGCTATGAAACACTAGTTCATAAAAAAATGATCTTAGTTTCTGAAATCATTTCGGTCTCAACTGTAATTATATCCATTAAAAAGATATTGAGACCCGTAATTTGTGTCTTATAAAATAATTTTCAATTGTAGACATAAACTTGAGCGCGCGTTATCTAGTTTATTAATACGCTTAAAAGTTAAAAAATTAATAACATTTTGCATGTTTTAATTTCCAACATGTCAAAGGCTTTCGGTATGTAGCACTACATATATATATATATATGTTAATGTTGTCACGTAATGTACTATGGATTGTGCTTGAAAACCTTTATTTGTGAAATACTATAAGTTTTATTGAACCACACTTGTTAAAGTTAACCTGATAGTATTTCTAAACAGTTTCAAGTTTTGGAATCATTCTAATGAAAAGTTTCTCACTGTATTCTGTGTAAGGTATGTCTTACTAACATGTTTCAGCATACTTTCGTAGTCAGTTGTAACCTCTGGGTATCTATTCCTAACTATAAGAAAAAAATATAATTTTAAACTGGTTTTTCCATTGGATTTTTCAATCAGTAATTTCATGCATAAACATGAATATAAAATGCAATACCAGCGTAACTTTTAAACAAAGTTGATTTTGGGTGTTTTTCACTTCACTTCAAAAGTAAGCCATCGCCTTTTTTCTGAAAACCTTGTAAAAATAAGTCCGAGTAACAAATGACTTTGCAAGGAAAAAGTCAGTTTTCTGTTAAAAATTGAAATCCCAAAACAGAGTAAAACTAAGAAGCTGTCATCAATGATTGGCGTTACTAGAAACACTAAATTCTGTTTTATAATTCCTGTACAATCTTTTATTTTCTACCTAAAGGACAAACCTGCTAATACCAGTAAAATTTTATGTTAAATATAAAAAGACTACTATGAAACGAATATTTACCTATCTTTGATTAACGACATATTAAATATTAAAAATGCTTTTAGGAATTAAAATCTTGCAAAAGGGCCAAATAGATCATAAAATATTTCAACAATTTTTCTCTATTTTGGTTTTACCACATATATGCTTTTACATCGTGTAGCCACGATAAATAATGTAAATTCGGTAAAAAATGTTGCTACTAAGTGCATATTTCAGTTAATAAAAGGATAATTTTGACGCTCTAGATACACGTATATAGTTGTTTAAAAATAACAATTTTCGTTACATTAACAATGCACGAACACCGATACTTATATTACCCGAGTAGGAGGTTTAAGGAAGCTTTAACACGTTTCCCTAGAATCTGAATCTCTAGTAGACAAGATGGTGGCTTGACTTAACTGCTTGTCTTCATTACTTTCTACAGAATCTCCGTCTTTGTCCGTTGACAAAGAGTTCTGATTTAACACGCATTTCCTCATGTGTTTCTCCAATGTACTTACCACTGAAAAAGGCATGTTACACAAGCGACAACGATATACATCCTTCCCAAACCGGCCATGGGTCTTCATATGACGTGTTAATTTAGAGCTCTGGGCACATGCATAACTACACAATTCACATTTGTAAGGCTTTTCACCGGTGTGGGATCGTCTGTGAACCGTTAAGTTGCTGCAGTTCTTGAAAATTTTACCACAAAACTCACACGTGTCATTCCGCCGTTGTTCTTTTGGTTTAGGAGTGGTTGTTGTTGAGGGTGTACTGGTCCTGGACAAGGGACTGGGCGAATTACCTAATCTACTAGAGGTGGTCACCATCAAGGCACTTTTACTGGCTGACCTTTGGTCTTTGGTGGACGATACTCCTTGATTGGTACAAGTCTGGGGAGAAGGTAGCCACAAGCCAGCATAGAGACTATTCTTTTCGTCTTGACCATCATCAAGACCAAGTTTGTTATTTTTGTTGGGACCTACTGAAATTTCCAAGGCACTGAGAAGACTGTTGCCAAAGTCTAATGGTGTCTGATTAATGCATTTATTACTTATCGAATAAGCTAGGCGATTTGAGCCACTTTCTGACGTTGTCTCACTCATAAGTACAGACTTTTGAGCGCTGCTTTCTTCTAAAGCTTGCTTGTAGGCCTCATTGTATTGCTGAATATGACCTAGTCCAATTTTTTCTAATACTTCGCCCAAAAGTGACTGTCTTTTCCTTGAAGGATTGGATTGTTCTCCTTTATCAGTCGTTTCTATCTCAGTAAACGTTTCTAAAGCAGTTTTAGGAGTTTCTGTTGAAATATTTTCAGCTCCAGTTTCTTCAAACTCTTCTTCTTCTTCAAGTTCTTCGTCGTCTTCTTCCAGGTCCTCATCTTCGTCTTCCTCTTCATTGTTTTCTACTTTGATAGGCTCATGATTATTCTGACTGGCTTCTTCTTTTTCATCAGGAGTTGATCTTCCTGAACCAACACTTGTATTTTCTGTTGATTCTGTTCCACCATTTCGATGTGTTTTCATATGTCGTTTCAGTTTACTGGCTTGGGAGCAGGCATGATCACAGATGTGACACTTATAGGGTTTTTCACCAGTATGTGATCTACGATGAACTATTAGATTGCTCTGAAATCGAAAATTCTTGCCACAAAATTCACATGATTTTAATTTAATTGATTCTGACTTATTACTTTCTTTCTGGCTGAGTGTCGGAGATACGGCCTGTTTTGGATAAAAAGTTACTGATTGATTGGAGGTTAATGTTTGTGAAAAAAGACTGGACAGTTTACCTCGGCATATATTGGTAGGACTCGTAGCTCCTGCTAATTGACGTAGTCTATTCGAATAGAAATCATTTTGGCGATCAAGACCACGTCCAATAGAAGCTCCTCGAGAATGATCAAAGAGCGTTTTATCCAGGGAATTATGGGAGTCTAGCGAAACAAGACTTAAAGTACTATTAGAGTGTAACCGTTGATACGTATTACCCAGGATACCAAGCTTGGATCCTTGACTAGTTTGACGTGGTAAATATTTGTTGTTCAACGAAGTGTTAAACTGTCGTTCACCAAGAGGAATCCGAAGGAGTTCCAAAGAAGGATGGTTGGATGATTTGTGTCCTCCAGATATCAGACTTTGTTCAGACAAGCTAACAGACACAGGAGGAGGAGGAGCTACTTGTTTTAAAGAGAAAAGAGTTGATTTGTCACAATCCAAGTTCTTCTCTTTGATGTTGTTTGTTTCCAAGTAGATATTTATGTCATGCATATGTTGCACGTGCTGTAACAGAACCCAAGCTGTGGCAAATGGCTGCTTACATGTGGAGCAAACATAGACACTTGGTTCTGAAAAAAAAAGAAAAAAGTCACGTTCTTCTAGTTATCAGTCTGTCAAATCTATATAGAAACATAATTTACCATTGTTATTAAAATCCTTTTTTGTATTTTGTTAAAAGGTATGCTAAACTGATAGATCACATAGATCAAATGTTGTTACATGTAATTAAACTTTTAATTATTCCGCAATCATACAAAGTGGAAAAGGACACGACACACACAACTTTTTCTCGATAACTCCTATACTGTAAAAGAACAATGAAAACAGTTTTCTTTTGATGACTGTTATGTTGCAAAAGAACAAATGAGAGATCTTTTCTTGATAACTGTAAAGCAACAAACGACAGCTTTCCCTTTGTTACAACATATAAAAACAAGTACTACCATTTCCTTGATCACTGTTATGTTGTGAATTACAAATGGCAGCCTCTTGATGACTTAGATTGTACAAGAAGAAATGATATATTCTTATTGATCAATGTTATGCTGAAAAAGGACAAATTGCAGCTTTCTCTTGACCACTGTTATACTGTAGAGTGTAGAAGAACAAAAAGGCAATACAGTTTTTTCTTAATCATTGCTGTTTTGTGAAAAACAAACGAAAACATATTTTTCTTGATAGTCGTTATATTGTAGAACAAATAGAAATACCTATTCCTTGTAGAAAAAGAAATATTATTATTATTATATTGAAAGATATATACGAAAACAGCTTTTTATCACAGTTACATTGTACAAACATTGTTATAGTGTTCACAGTTACATTGTACAAACATTGTTATAGTGTTCAAGAACAAATGATCAAAAACTTTCTCTTGGTCACTTCTACACTTTAGAAGGACAAATGATATTTTTGTCCAGTTTAATATTGTAGAAGTATTTAAAAAAAAACTTTTTTTCATCGCTGTTATACTGTTCAAGACCAACTGATCAAAATGTTACGTCGTTTTACGAACAAATGTAAACAGTTTTTCTTTTATTACTACCGCAATGTAGGAAGTTTAACAAATAGAAAACAGATTCCTCTAGAACAGTATTGTATTGCAGATGAAAATATACAAGCTGTTTCCAATAGAAATATGTTTGTTTCATCGCTTAAATTTAGAGGGCACAATATTAAAGTAATATGTTATAAACTTTAGTTTGTTTGAATTTATGCACAAAGCAACACAATGGGCTATCTGTGCTCTGCCCCCCACGGGTATCGAAACCCGGTTTCTAGCGTTGTAAGTCCGCAGACATACCGCTGTGCCACTGGGGGGCAAATATGTTATAATAATTTATTCATTATCAAACGAAAAAAAAAGCTGTTTTCAAACATTCATATTAAGCACGAAATGAAGTTCACTCTTGTAATAACCTAAACGAACCAAGCACCCTAACAACCTGGCCATGCTGACAAGAACCCCAACTTAAAGACTTAAAAGTGGAATATGATATTTGATGTTCGTTTACCAAAAGTGCCGGCATCAAGGATGATAGATTTAATTTACCTTTAGAATTTAACAAGAGTGCCAATCAAAGTGAAAATCGTTTTCTAGTGGTAAACAAGAGGCAATCCTCAACAGTCGAGGCACTCAAAACTCTTATAGGCAGGATTAGCGGAAATTAATTTATGAGACCCTCCCCCCCCCCCTCATGACCTTCCTCATTTCATCCTGTATTAGTGTCAAGTTGTGACCCCGGGAATCCAAACCCCCACCTTCTGTAGAAAAAAATCAGATTACAAAATTTTTATTG